ATTGCCCTTTCTAAAAGAAACAGCACCGCATCATACATGAAAGTTGTGCTCCCCCTGGAGGAGAAACAAGAATATAACACTGAACAGGAATCTCATTTTATAATTCAAGGGTGCTTCTCAAAAATACAGCTAGGTTGGCCATTATCTTAAGAGTAAAGATATTCTTAAGGATAGTGTCAGAAAACAGGTTTGATTAGCTTCTTTTTGTCAGAGCAGAGACCTACATCAGGCTGGGGCACTTGGAGAGGTGTGGTAGACTCAGCTGATGGTTACTTAATTGACCATCTAATGATTAGCTAATAATAAATATGACTAATGAAGGACGATTACTAGAGGTAAAGAGAAATAAAGTCAGAAATAATTCAGAAAAAGTGCCCTCAAAATATTCTTTCATTATTTTTACAGCATTAAAATATTTTTTTGAGAAACAACTAAGTTGTGATTTGGGATAATATATTAGATTTTTCTAAATTCTTTTTATTTTTTTAAGATTTTATTGGGGAATTGGTGAAGGGGAACAGTTTTGGGGAATTGGGGAAGGGGAACAGCCAAGTTGTTGTCCTTCAATCTTAGTTGTGGAGGTCGCAGCCAGCTCAGCTCAAAGTCCAGTCGTCATCCAGCCGCCTTTCGGCAGCTGGTGGCCGGATGACAACTGGACTTGGAGCTGAGCTGGCTGCGCCCTCGGCCAGCCCAGATTTTTCTAAATTCTTATATCCAGGGCATATATTACTGAATTCTTTGTTATATATTATAACACCAATGAAAACCTGTACAATAAAGGGCCGGCCGAATGGCTCAGTTGGTTAAGAGCGCAAGCTCTGAGCAACTGGGTCACCCGTATGATTCCCACATTGCCAGTGAGCTGCACCCCAGCTGAGCTGCTGCTGAGCAGCCAACAGGTGGCAGGATGTCTCAGCTGGTCAGAGCACGTGCTCCTAACAACAAGGTTGCCGATTTGACTCCTGCATGGGATGGTGGGCTATGCCCACCAGTAACTAAGATTGAACACGGCACCTTAAGCTGAGCTGCCCTGAGCTGCCGATGGGCGGCTGGATGGCTCAGTGGTTAGAGTGTGCGCTCTTAGCAACAAGGTTTCCAGTTCAACTCACGCATGGGATAATGGGCTACACCCACCTGCAACTAAGACTGAACATGGCACCTTGAGCTGAGTGGCCTCCAGCTGCCTCGAGCTGCTGACAGGTCGCCGGATGGTGATTGGACTTGGAGTTGAGCTAACTATGCCCTTTACAACTAACATTGAAGGCAACATCTTGTCTGTTCCCCTTCCCCAATTTTCCAACACTGTTCCCCTTCCCCACTTCCCCAATAAAATTTAAAAAAACCCCACAAAACCTGGACAAAAAGTTTTCTGTACCATCAATGATAAAACATGTATGACATTGCTCTCTATATTGATTCCAGCTATGATAATTCAGTATGTGTATAAAATTGTAGTGATNTCTTAACCATCGCGCCACTCGGCCGGCCCTTATGCATTTCTGATGTAAAGAAGTGTTAGTGTTCCACCAGGAAGTTCTTTGGGCTTTTCTTTTACTATCTAAATAGAAGAGGAAGAGAAAATTTTCTCTATCTAGATAAAGTCCCAGAACCTTATGTCCAGCCTGTTATGTTTAAGGGAATTTGGGGATGACTAAAAGCAGGAAACAAAAGTGTTTCAGAGTTTGGATTTGCTTTAATATTAACTTGGCTAGCTTGGATGTTAAAGATATTTATTCAACATTGGCTAACTCTGATGTTAAGTTCAGAAAACCTGTCTCAGCATAAGAGAGAAGGATCTCCTTTTGATTAACTCAGTGAAATACAGTATTTGGGGAAAATGGTTGTATTTTTAGGCCACTTGTTAACACTGTTGTCACAGTGACATCTTTGGTAAATGAGTATGCCATGCTATTCTCAATGATTTTTTGTTTTGAAAGGTACGCTCTTGGCTGAGGTGCAGGAAGTAGCTACTGACAAAGTGGTATCCATGTTATCTGTTATAAAAATCCTGACTCCCTGTTTCTCTCCTCAGGACATTCACTCTTCATGGGGGCACCCACTTTCATGGTTTGATCATTCTTCTGATCATTTCTTTCATTCCCGTCTGCAATTACTCAACATATATTGTAAACACCTACTGTGTGCCAGACCCTATTCTAGAAGCTGGGAATACAGTAACGGGGGGAAAAATCTACGAAATCTCTGTCTTCTCAGAATTTGTTTTAGTTGGGTACGAGAGATAACCAATAAACAGGCGAACAAATGAATTATATAGTCTATTGTGTGATGATCCACGTTTTGAAGAAAGCGACAGGGAATTGGGGGTGCTGGGGAAAGGGTGGGGTTGCTACTTTAAGTAGAGTGTCCAGGAAGGCGGGAGCAAGTCCAGAGGGAAGGGACAAGGAAGCGGGGGCATGCGGGTAACCCAGCTCTGCAGCAGAGAGCATGGCTGGTGTGTCGGAGCAGAACGCAGGGCAGTGTGGCTGGAGCAGAGACACGCATGGAGAAGGCAGAGATGGTTAGAGAGGTCTGGGGGTGTGGGCAGATGGAAGGCCTGTGGACCCGTGTAGAGACCGTGCTTTAATCTAAGTGGAATGAAACCTTTTGCTGTAGTTTAAGAATACGTTATACAGTTTAAATAACATGTACCTATTGTTTATCTATAGCATTGTCGCACATATCGACTAAAATGCTGCTAAATTGGGAATGCCTAAATTATCCCCAACAGTGACTGCTATATCTTGTCAGGTGTCTGGTCTGCATGACAGTTGGGGGTGGCGAGCCATGTGACGGTCAGTAGACAAACGAATCTGCAGCTTGCCACCAACTGCTTGTGTTACAGGCCTTGGGTTTATCGCTAAAATGTGGAGGATGGACAAGGCGCGGGGTTTTCAGACTCTGATCCATGGAGCACTGGGGATCCCTGAGGGCCCTTTTATTTATTATTATTATTATTATTATTATTATTATTATTATTATTATTATTTTAAATCTTCTGTGCAAGTTCCACTTAGAAGGTGTCCCCTAGCTTTAAAAAAAATCCTGGACTTTGTTATCCCTTAGGTTTTCCAGCATGAAGAATTTGCAGTCTCATGGACTCCGAAATGACAGATCAGAGCTCAGAATCCCTTATTACTCAGTGCCTCCTAGACAGTGTCCCTTATCTGTTATTGAAATCAGAAGGTAATTTGTCAATCGTTAGACAAGGCATGTGAGATCCCATCGCTCAAGATTGGTGATTTGAGTTCTGTCCTCCTACAGACTTAAGCTAAGTGAGTAATATAAGAAGTGAATGTCTGAGCAGGTACTCTCTGGCACAAAGTAGAAGCCAGCAACTGAGAAAAGTAATTATGATTCACATGTCAAGAAGGGCATAGGCCTATTCTAATTTTAAAAGTAACTAATGACATGAGTGTTGGTCATTATATGTGTTTCATATACTGAAAAACAGTCCTGTACTCATCATAGAAAAGTATAATAGGAAGATTAAACTGGGCGTTTGGGGTACTTATAGTTAAAGGTAGATTTTAGTTAGTGTTATTTTCTGATCGAAGAAAGGAGAAAATTCATTCTTTAATATATTGACTATCTTCTTCCTTTCTAACCCAGAATCTCATTCTGCTGTTTTGGAAACTCTGAAAAATGGTTCAGATGCTGTTCAGCAGGTAAGAAGATCTTATTAGGACGTCGAATCCCTTTCTCTCTTATTTGTCTTAAGTTGTGACAGATTCTGATTTCTCTTCCAATCGGCTCAGCTAGTTAGGCCACCTTTGTTTCAGGAAGCCTGCAGGGGGACTGGGAAGGGAAGGTTTTCTTCCATTTTAGCTTCTGCAAAGAAAATCAGCCTTGAAGTGGCACTGAGGGCAAGCTTTTCAGAAGCTGCATCATTTGATATCCAGCCAAAGAGTTGGACCCACAGCTGCTGTTTCCAGAAGGAAGTGGTGGCCCATCCAGGAAANGTTTCTGCCTTGTTTCAGCTCATCCTGTAAACATGTATCCTTTCTGCATTCTATTTGGTGCCACACTTTTTACCTTTTGGTGCTTTATATCGGTGACTTTGCTGTTGTTTAAGATGCACCCCCACCAAGGGCTGTGCTGAAGGGATGACTGTGCTGAAGTATTGTCACATGCGAGAAACCTGTGATGTGACTTATGGTGAAAATATGTTTGTTAGATATTATACTTATGTGTACTGAATAAGGTGACTTGAAACAGAAACGCACATAAAACAAGCTGACGAAAATGTGACCTCAGGCCTACAGGAACCGAACGCTATTGCCTGTAGGAGCGATCGTTCAGTATTCACTAATTCCTTGTTCACAATGACTAGAGAATGGAACAACTGGGAAAAGTGAGAAATGACTTATGTAACCCTCTTGGTACCCCTTTGCCGAGTAGGTGGGGTAGGTAAAGAGTATGCACTTTTTACAGGCTATTAAAAATCTTATAAACTAAGTAGAAAATTTAAAATGTATTACACGCAGCATAAGAGCCATGAGGTTTTGAGCAAGAAAGTATCATTCTGAACTGATATTTAAGAAATAATGACAAAAGAATGTAGCCTTGATAGGAAGAGGGAGAATAGAGCCCAAAAGGAAGAGTGGCTATTAAACCTTTGAAGTCTTTACTTTGTAAGGTGAGATTCTGAGCTAAGGTGCTGATATAAATAAAGAAAAGTAGGAGCCACAGGTTGAAATAATGGATTTGGTAACCATATCTGGGGTATAAACTAGGCTGTTGTGGTTCTCAAAGTGTGGTCCTTGGAATAGCAGCATTAGCAGCTCCTGGAAACTGGCTAGAAATACAGATCCTCAGGCCCAGTTTAGACGTACTGAGTTGAAAACTCTGGCAGTGGGGCGCAGCAACCTGTTTCAAGAAGCCCTCCAAGTGTGATTCTGGTGCACGTCAAGTGTAAGAGCCAGTGCATTCGAAAAATGGTTCAAAGGTTGTACCTTGCCTCGGTAAACTGAAGGGCAATTTGTTTGCAGGATAAGATGCATTTTAAATTTAAGAAAAAAAAGTAGGGTAATCAAATAGCAGTGATAATTATACTGCAATAAAAATAAAATTTAAAAATTAGCATTGATAGCTAAGCAATCGCAATATGGAAGTGAAGTGTCAATGAGAGAGAAAAACTTGAAAATCATTAGCATAGAGATGAGAGACCNCTCAGACTCCTGAGCTTGACATACAAGGCATCCCCTTGCCATCTCTGTCTTTAGCCTTATCACCCACTATTTACTATGTTTGGTTTGTTCCAACTGTAAAACATACTTTGTTTTTCAGAAAGTTTTAGCATTTGTTATATCTGTCTTTTTTATGTTTTTTTTTCTACAGTCCTACTCTCCCTTTTTCCTCTACTTAACTTCTATTTTTTAATCTATACTCTTATCAAACTTTACTTCCTCTTAGACACTTTATCTGAGACAGTGTCTAGAAACCTCTTTTGATGATCCTGCTCTGGGACATCCTATACTTAGCTTACTTTTCTATAATTGTTTTATTATGCATGTCTCAAAGACAGTTGAGCGCCTGAAAGCTAAGACTATCTGGATTCTATTTGTCTTTCCAATATCTAACACAGTACCTAACATTTTTGAGGAGCTCAGAAAATGTCTGCTGAATGAATAAATATATGGGAGGCCACACTGGCTAGAGCAGAAGGTGCTTCTTGGGGAGTTGTAGAAAATTTAGTTATATTCATACCATAGTAGATAAGGATGTGGGCTTTGGACAAGTTTGCCTGGGCACAAATCTCAGTTATTCCTCTTTTTAGCTAGGGAACCTAAGCAAAGTGTTTGACTCTGTTCCTAGTTTTCTCATCTATAAAATGGGGACAATAATAACTCCTATCTCAGGTGGGCTTTGGACTGTACTGGAGTACTACCAGGCTACCTCAACCAACGACACAACCAAGGGCAGACTGGGCAGGCCCTGCTAAAGTGAAACCTGCTCTATAAGGTCAGCCTCTGAATCACAGTTCCTCCACAGTAGTCACAGGCAGTCCTCACAGCCAGTCATCCTGAGGGTGAATCCCTCCTATTGAGGTGCAAACAGCAACCAAGGCTCAACTACAATAGGAGGGCATACACAACCCACACAAGGGGCACACTTGCAGCACCTGGCTCAGGTGGCCAGGGATATTGCACCACTGAGCCCCACAGTACACCTACTACATAAGGGCACTCTACCAAGACTGGGAGACATAGCACCTCTAACTAATATATAGAAACAAACACAGGGAGGCAGCCAAAATGGGGAGACAAAACCCTCTTATCTTGTAGGGTTTTTATGAGATTTAAATGTATTTATGTAAAGTGTTTAGAAGAGTTCTTAGCACATAGGAAGTTCTCAAAAGTTTCAATGTTCTTTTTTGTCCTTATTATTGTTATATCTGAGCAACACTCTGGTTTCCAGAGTTGATTTCTTACCCAAATGAAAGAACATAACAAAGCTCCAGAAAAAGAACTAAACAAAATGTAGACAAGCAAACTACTAGTTGCAGAATTCAAAGGTTATAAGGATTATAAGGATGNTCTGTATGTCTGGAAAGGTGTTTATTACTCCTTCATATCTGAAGTATAACTTTGCTGGATATATTATTCTTGGCTGCTAATTCCTCTCTTTCAATATTTTGAATATTTGATAGCACTCCCTCCTGGGTTTTAGAGTTTCTGCCGAAAAATCTGATGATAATCTAATGGCCTTTCTTTTATAGGTTACAGGCTTATTTTCCCTGGCTGCCTTGAGAATTCTTTCTTTGTTGTTAATTTTTGACAGTTTTCATATAATATGCCTTGCAGAAGGTCTTTTTAGATTGAGATAATTACATGTTCTGTTAATTTTTTGGATTCAATGATCCACTGATTTCCACAGGAATGTTCTTTGTTGACTATTTTTTGAATAGGCGCTCGGTGCTCTTCTCCCTCTTCCTCCTCTGGTATATCCATTATTCTTATATTGTCTTTTCTGATGGAGACAGATAGCTCTTGTAGAGTTCTTTAATGTCTTCTAATTCTCAAGTCTCTAGTTCCTTCTGAGTCATTTCTAGATTTCTATCTTCCATAGCACTAATTCTTTCCTTGATCTGGTCAGCTCTATTTCCTAAGCTTGCTGTTTCATTCTTCATCTCTTTGACTGAGTTCTTCAGTTCCAGAATTTCTATTTGGTTCTTTTTCTAAAATTTCAATCTCTTTGGCAAAATATTCCTTTTGTTGGTTAATTTTGTTTCTGAGTTCATTGAACTGCCTCTCTGAGTTTTCTTGCATCTCATTGAATTTTTTCAGAATGGCAATCTTAAATTCTATGTCATTTAAGTAACAATTTCTATATCTTTAAGTTTACTTTTTGAAGATTTTTCAGTTTCTTTGTGAGATGCCTTGTTACCTTGTTTTCTTATGGTATTTGATGGATTCATTCTTTGCCTAGGCATTTATGGGATTCAATTCTGCATCAGGTTGATAAGAAGAGGCTTTTCTTTTGTTTCCCAGTAGATGGCGCTAAAGCACAAGGTTTGTTTTGGTTTGGTTCGTTTTTTTTCCCTGTTGCACTGCTCTTTCTCGCTTCGCCGCTGGGTGGTGGAAAATGCCTTGTATTCTTTGGGGAGGTAGGCGTCTCCTCTCTGACTAGGTTGCCTAGGTCTCAGGACACCAACCCTGTTGGAGACTGTAGAGAACAACTGGGTTCCCAGCCCAGGAAATCCAGTTGCTGCCCCTGTAACCAGCTGCAGTGTTACACTGCATGAGCTGTCCCAGGTGCCCCCACTGGGATCAACTGAAGGGTGCGGGCGGAGTGGGCTGGGGCATGCCGCTGGTATGTTTGTGGCTCTGTTCTCCTCCCAGTAAAGGTGACTTCCAGACCTCAGCTGTCTTACCTCTGTATCACTACCTTTGTCACTGAAATTAGCCACAGAGTCCATCTGCCACTTAGGAATTTTCTCTCCAGTTCTCAGGGTTGTAGATCTTCTGCTCTTTAACTGACACTGCTGCTGTTTCTTCTGTGACCGGCTGCTAGGTTTGGGGGAGTGTAGGGAAGGTGAGAGCTCTGAAAGGGTGGGCAGAGGCGGCCAGGCTCTGTGTCTTTGTTTTCTACCTGGCAATGGCAGTTGCTAGAACACAGCTGGTGCTTCTGTATTTGGTCTCTGCTCCGAGATCCCTGCCCTGATCGCTGGGTGCAGCCATATTATATGCTGGTCACTCAGGCAGGAATGCTCAGGGCCACAGAGACAGCACCTGCAGCCTGAGTCCTCTCCTCTCCCCAAGATCCGCAGTGAGGTCTGGGCTGCATGCACGACCCCCGTCTCTGCTCCTCTTCCTTCACTCCTACCCTGTTCACCCCGATTCACCCACCTTCAGATGTTCTGATGCTCAAACACTCAGATGTGTGTAGGTTTTGCACAGGGTGTCCTTTGTTGAATTGTAGATATTCAACTTGTAACTTCAAGGGGAGAGATGAAGGGGACTCCTCGTGCAGCCGTGCTTCTGTCATTCGAGTTGGCAGTTTTCAATGCAATGGGTTGCTCTTTAAAAACAACCATTCTAATTGATTAATTGGGGACCCTGTCGGTTCCAGAAGTGAGTACAAGGCAGTCCCCCAAAGCACCCCTGAATCCTGGGTGTTGGAAAGAGGTGCCATCAGAGTTTGTATGAGGGGTGATCATTCTAAG